TTTATTTTTTTTTTTTCCATTTAAAATCTCTCTCTCTCTTTCTTCTCTCATCTCTCCTTGCAGTGACACTTTTTTTGTATATATCTGTATTACTGTTTTTTGTCTCCTTTTTTTTTTCATTTTTTTTTTTTTTTTCTCCCTACTCCTCCCCATTTCTATATATCATTTCCGTTAAAAACTAAAATTCTAAATAGGTCATGGTCTCATTTTAAACAGATTTACCCCAATATAAAGTACACAAATAAGATATGAAATTAACATTCTATATAAACCATGTCTCTTTAACTATCCCTTTTACATCTCTGTTAAATGACAAAAACAAACAAAATATCAATTTTAATTTCATTTTTTTTTCATTTCATTTTTGGAAGTTTCATCTGATGATTTTTGCGTCCTTTTAAAATGCTATTTTTTTTAAATTATTATAATGGTACCTTAAAGTGGTCATATTTTTTCTTTTTATTTTAATTTTTCTGGTTTACAATGATTCTCAGAATTTCAAACAAATATCAGATTACCTTTTCTATATAAATATTACCAAGTTTTCTCAAACTTAAATATATATATATATATATATATATATATATATATATATATATAGATATAATGAAAATTTGGTAATCTGTGAATTTCTAATTAAAAATAATGAAATTCAAAAAAAATTAATCTTCAAATGTCAAATTCAAATATTAATTAAATAATAATTAATACCTATGATTCTCTATTTAAATAAGGTCCATGAAATAATTTATTTCCCCTAAAAAATATTTTTCCTAAATAAATATGAGGTCATAGATCTCTAGTTAGTTAACTAGATTTTTAGCTTTATATGTGATCACATAAATTAGGTAACAAGAGATGTTTTTAAAATGAACATCAGAAAAATATATTTTCTTTGGAAATAAATTTTTTAATCATTAAAAACTTAAAATTTCTTTTTTTAATTAATTATTTATATATATATATATATATATATATATGTGTGTGTGTGTGTGTGTGTGTGTGTGTGTGTGTGTGAGTGTGTGTGACGAACTGAAAATAGTTTTTTTGAACTTTTAAAAGAACTAATGAAAAAATTCTGTTTTTACTAAATTAACAATGGTTTTGAAAACAAAATTCATCGATCACCAGATTAGACTGTTTCTTTTTTTTTAAAGTAAAAATAACGATACCGAACATTTTTTACAAAACAGTAACATAAAAAAAAAGAGCATTTACTAAAAAATATTTGTATCTATTAAAAGAATGTTAAACATAAAAAAAAAAATAAATAAATGTCGGACTTTGTCCATTTCAAAATGTGTGACGTCATTTGTTTACATTTGATACGCCATGAACAGATATGAATGTAAGAAGATTCAAATTCAGATTAAAGTTTTTAAGTAGAAAAAAAATTCGACCTTAAAACCGAACGATCCTTTGCAGTTTAAATGACGTTTAGCTAAATGACTAAAATCGTATAGGATGCATAAAATCGAATCCTGTCAAAAATGAATTTTTTTTTAAAAAAAATTTCTTTACATTCAGGCCAAGAAATGTTATTTAATTCTGTTTATTATAAAAAACAGATTTTTTACTAAAATATTTGTAAAATAAAAAAAAATGTTAAACATAAAAAAATAAATTTAACAATTTAATTGTTTGGACTTTTTCCATTTTTAATGTATGACGCCATTTGTTTACAATTTGATACGCCATATGCATAATGAATGTATTTATATTCATAAAGATTTAAAAGAATTTAATCAAATTGGTTGATGCCAACCGAACGATCCTTTCATTTTTGAACGGTTAAAAACGTCATAATAAATGACGATTCCGTATAAAATGCAGCTTCGAATCCTGTCAAAAATTATGTTATTTTCTAATAAGAAAATTTTTTATTCAGGCCGGTAAATGTTATTTAATACTGTTTATTATATAAAAAAAAATCAGAGCATTTACTAAAATAGTTGTATCTATAAAAAGAATGTTAAACATAAAAATGTGCTTAAATAAACATCTTCTGCAAAATCCACATACACATCAGATGAATGTTTACTTAGAAATACCATAAAGAAATACACTACCACAGTTAATTCGAACAAAAAAAAATTAAATTATCTATTAAAAAAATTTACACAGCTAATCTTATCACAAAAAACAACACTATTTACGAGTTCAAATGTCCCTTTTTATGAATTTATTCCTAATAAATCAAATTCAATAAATAAATTTAATAACAAATTGACTACATTGATCCATACGCCTTACGTTACACCTATCCGACTACAGCTCCATCTGAAATCATTTAAACACACACAGAAACCCTCCAGACACCATCTGCAACATACTAGTAGAAAATACAAGCATATTAATCTCATCCATATGTAAAAAAAATATCGGAAGCCCTAATCATAAAAATGAAAAAGCCAACACTCAATTGTTATCTAATAACACGGCCAAAAATGTGGATTGAAATTCAATGTTCTGAAAATAAAAAAAAAAAATTTATATAACTCTAGATACATACACTAAACTCATACATGCAGTAAAAATAAAATCATCTTAAAAATATAACCGAAAGCGCTCAGAAATGTAAAACATTTGGACATTTTTAACACATTTTGGGTCCACAGAAGAGTTTTCTGCACGTAAACAAGAAAAATTAAATAAAAAGATTAATCACAGTAGTAACTTGTCAGTTGGCTTTAACGAAACATGTACAAAAGAGGGATTTTTTTTATTTTTTTTTTTAAGCATTTCACCCCAAGCAAGGCGGGAAGCCACTAGGACGCAAGGGGTTACAGAAAATTTAGAGCAAGATCAGATAGGAGTGATAGAAGAAAGGATGAGGGTAAGGATAGATAGATTAAGGCAACTGGAGATGTCGATTGACATTACACTTGAATAGCTGGAGATTATAGCTCACAGGGAAACAGGAATAGGGAAGGAGTTCCACAGGCGAGAGGTGCGAGACATGAAGCTATTAGAGTAGAAGAGACGGCTACATTTAGGAGTTTCGACAGTGAAGGGGTGAGAGCGGGATGCCAGCCTCGTAGGGCGCTTGAACTCATGAAGTCTGGGAACCAGCTAATGCAGCTCCTCGGAGCAATTGCCACGAAAGTATTTGTAGAACAGAAAGGGGGAGGCGACGGCGTGTCTGTGAGAATGCGACTGTAGACGAGATGCCAGAACAGGGCCAACCATATTGCATATCCGCCTCTGGATCTTGTCAAGAACCCCGAGGCAAACAGAAGGGGCTCCAGACCATATATGGCAGCAATACTCCATGCAAGGGCGAATTGTTGATTTGTATATGTGGAGGATCGATTCCGGGGAGAAAAACTTCCTGGCGCGGCTCAGGGAGCCAACTTTCCTTGCAGTGGACGAAGCAATTGACTCAATGTATTTATTCCATCTCAGGTCAGCAGTCAACGTGAGACCGAGAAGCCGCAGAGAGTTGCTCTCGAGAAGTTGAGCGTCAGACATTCTAATGGAGGGATAGGGAAGGATCTCTGTGGTGATTAATAGAGAGCAGTTTTGTTTTTGAAGCGTTGAAGTTGACCAGCCAATTCATGCCCCAGTTCACAATCGATTGGAGGTCCTTTTTTGAGACGCACGGCAAGGTTAGTTTTGTCAGCGACACTAGATTTGTTTTTGAGGCAGGAATAAATTGTGGTGTCATCCGCGTAGATGCCAACTTGAGAATTTATGGCGTCAGGAAGGTCATTTATGTAGATAAGGAATAGAGTGGGGCCTAGGATGGAGCCTTGAGGAACACCTGCGTTCGTGGGATAGGAACTGGAGGAGAATCCGTTGAGAACGACCTTCAATTCACGGTTTGACAGGAATGATTGTATTAGGTAAAATCGACCCGTAATGCCATAACCCTGGATCTTGTGGAGAAGGCCGGCGTGCCAAACCCTATCAAATGCTTTGGAATATCTAGTACCACAACTATTTAATTCCCCCGATTTTTTAGTTCGATGCCTATATATATATATATATATATATATATATATATATATATATAATCGAATTAAATAAATATATATTTTAAAAGAGCGAATGTAAAAAAAAAATGAAAAAATATGCTTTATTAAAAAGGAAAAATTGATTCGGCATTAAATTCGGAATTGGTAATTAATTTCTCTTTATATATATATATATTTCATAATTATTCATATATATATATATATATATATATATATATATATATATATAAATAAAATAGATAGAAAGAGAGAGAGTAAACTATAATTCAACTTTATTTATTCCATAGAGGATATAATAGAAATAGATAAATAGATAGATGAAGAAGAAGAAAATTAAACGACTGTGATAAAGTTAATTATGGCATATTAAAGAATAACCTTCATACATCCATAGATAGATTTCATCTAGATAATAGATACGGACGCATTAAATAAATATATATATATATATATATATATATATATATATATATATATATATATAGAGAGAGAGAAGAGAGAGATTTTTATAAATAGATAAGATAGATATAGATAGATAGATTTATATATATATTTTGGGAGAAGAAGAGAAATTAGATGACTGTTCGATAAGAAAGATAAAAAAAAAATAGATGCATCCATAGATAGACAGGTATATAAAGTTTTTTTATAAATTAACCCTGAGCAAAAACGTGAAAAACTAGGATGCATATCGGGTTATAAGAAGATTTGGAGCAAGATCAGATAGGGAGTGATAGAAGAAAGGATGAGGAGAAATTTGAATGGATAGATCAAATAACTGGAGATGTCGATTGACATTACATTTGAATAGTTGGAAAATTATAGCTCTCAGGGAAACAGTAATTAGGGAAATTTGTTCCACAGGCGAGATTTCAGAATCCAAAAGAAAAATTATACGATTGTTTTAGTTCGAATATTAAATTCGATATTTAAGAATAAATAGATACATCCATAGATAGGCAAATAGATAGATTATAATTTTTTTTTAAATATATATATATATATATATATATATATATTAACTATTATATATTTAGATAGATATAAAGATAGATTTGGAAAAGAAAAAAAAAAACGATTTTCGATTGGTTCAAATAAGAAAAAAAAAAAAACTAGATGCATCCATAGATAGATAGATAGATAGATAGACCAATAAATATCTAATATTTTTTGGTAAAAATAAATATTAAAAACACTGTAAATTCTGTACATCTGCGGCTTGTTTTTCAACAAATTAATATCCTTTTTGGAATAACGACCAATACGCACATTGGTGTCAAAAGAATAAAAGTGTAACGACCAATATTTGTCTTAATCGTAATTTCCCCTGGCACAAATCACAAGAAGTAATGACTAATAAAAAAAATGTAAAAATGTTATAATAGATTTTGCAAATTGATTTTTTCAGGCTCTTTTTGGGAAAATAAAAATATGGCGGCCGATTTGGAACCTGCAATGGCTGTAATCTTACAATTTAATTTAATTAAAATTTTTAAGGGGATTTTGGCCTAACATAATCTGAAAATCAATATGGTTTTATCCGGGTTTGGTTTGTTTTGAAATGATCATATGTCCTGGACAGTAATTGTCGAAGGGTCTGACTGATTTTTATCCCATAATTCCTTACGTGACTGAATTCAAACTTTTTCTACATTTGTTTTTTAAAATCTAAAATAAAAAATATTTATATGGCGCCTTTTAAATTTTTTATTTCCATTAATTTAACATTATTTGCTCATATTATAAAAACAATAAAAAATTTGTTTATCAGATGCAAATTAAAAATAAAAAAATTAAAACGACGTCATATAATCATAATGGTTATTCATATATACTTTTTTTTTTTGCTAAACACGAACGCTTACTGTCGTTAAATCGGTAAAATATATATCATCTATATTTTTTCCGTATAATACATGTTCGATTTGAACATCGGAGGAGACATATTTTCTATGAAAATTTCATTATATTCAGGCTTCTAAATGTTAATTTGTTTATTTAAACAGAAAGTTTACATAAATTTTTTATATATATATAAAAAGAACGTATAAACATAAAAAATTCTTTTAAATAATTTTCAGACTTTGTCCATTTCATAATGTATAACGTCATTTGTTTACATTTTATTATCATTTTTTAGAAGATTGAACGAATGAAAAAAATCATGGGAATTTTTTTAAAAACAGTAAAAAAGATCTTTTTCACCGAAAACTCCTCAATTACACCCATATCATATATAATGGCATGCCAGGCTATATGACGGTTCCGTATAGGATACAGGTTCGATTCTTGTCGGAGGACGCATATTTTTTATGAAAATTTCTCGGACATTCAGACCGGTAAATGTTGTTAATACTGTTTTTATAAACAGAGAATTTACTTAAATATTTGTATCTATAAAAAAAATATAAAACATAAAAAAAAAAAAATTAATTGTCAAATTTTAAAATATATATACTATATATATATATATAAATATATATAAATAGAATATATATATTGATTTAAAATCACTATAAAAATAATACTAGAAGTCCATTTTGAATGTTAATTAACCTTCTAAGTCAAAATATTTAACCTTAAATGTTTTCTAAACATGACATATAGAGTTAATTGGTAAACATCAAAAAATATTTACCTTATGTTGATAGTTAAATTTTTATAATGATTCATGTATGTGTTGGTTTAATTTGTTGTATATGGCAGCATTGAATTTTTTAAATGACAGGTCATATTTGAAAATTAAAATACAAGATAACCAACATAAACTTATTTAATGTTTTTTTTTTTTATTAGTTTTTCATAATGTAATGAGATAACCGATATTTTTGAAAAATAAACAGAACAAAAAATATAGGCAAATTTTTTTTCAGTTTATTTAAATTAGATTGTTTTAAGCCTGACGTTTTTTTGGATGACTATTTTTCCGATAGATGTTTGTTCAAAAACTGAAAAATGCAAATTATTATTGTAAAGTTGAATTAGTTTTCTTAATAATTTTTTATTCTGTTTTTTTATCATTGGTTAACAACTCAAATTAATATAAAATAAGTTAAAATTTTTTTTTTTTTATTCAGAAAAGGATGCTTGTAAATTCAATTTATAAAATTTCGTTAAGGCTAAATTTATTTGTTCTTCGAAAAAAAAAACATATAAAAAAACAACCCGGATATAAAAAAGAGTTGTTTCTTTAAAGAAAAAGTAGGATATCCGATCCCATATATAAAATTATATACATTAACACATATTAATAATTTGGGACCACACAAAATCTCTTAACATCCTGGGTTTTATAATATATATATAATTATATCCAAACACTTTTATTCTCAATATTATGCATAAGAATCATATTTAACGGAAGTTATTTTCATTGAAAAAAATTGTGTTTTTATTATTAAATAACAATAACTAATACATTAAAATATAGACATATTAGTTTTGTTGAAATACCCCTGTCTAAAAAAATAAATATTTAATATAACCTTTTTTACATGAATTTTACACATTAAATGTTTTTTAATAAGCATGAAAATTTTAAAAATTACTCTTTCCATTCGAATTTATGAAATTACGCTAATGTCTTTAATTTAATTAAACAAAAAAAAATTCAGAAAAAATAATCTTTTTTTTTTGTTAGAACTTTGAATCAAAAAAACCAAATTTTAAATCAAAATTTATAATAAAACACACATGTATATATATATATATATATATATATATATATATATATATATATATATATATATATATATATATTTCATATTCATACATCTTAAATCTTTTTGAATCTTAGCTTCATCAGTGTATTTAGACGTTTAAGATATGGGTTTTGTCTAGGATCGAAAGTATATATATAAATTGGTCTTAGTCATTATTCTACCATTGGTTATTAATTAAAAATAAATAGGTGAATTTATTTTTTTTAAATATAATAAACAAATTGGATTCAATTGTTTGTTAATATTATTAATTTTATCAGACAATATGAAAGTAACTTAATTTTTAATAAAACAATATATTTATATTATTTATGAAACATGCAATAATGGAAAATTTTATATAAATATATATATATATATATATATATATATATATGTGTGTGTGTGATGTATATATAGAAAATAGGAAAAAAATCTGGTTAGATAAATAATCAATGTAAAGTTCCTTTTTATTTTAATTATTATTTTTTAAATAGTAGTGCTCGATACAAAAATTTATAAATATAATTATTTATTTAAAAAATAAATTTTCAAATCGCGACATAAAACTGAAAAAAATCATTTTTTGGATTTTTTTAATTTATTTCATTTTTAAAATTAATATTTGAATATATATATATATATATATTTATATATATATATATATATATATATATATATATATATATATATATATATATATATATATATATATAAATATTTTTACAATTTAGATTATTGTTTTAACTTATTGTTTTTGTTTAATTGTTCTTGAATGAACTTCATTTTTTTATATTTTTCAATGATGATTTAAAAATTTAAGCTATTTTTTTTAAGACTCATATTAAAATTCTAAAAATTTACATGTTTCGTATCCGAAATTTTAATTAAAAACCTGATAAAACTATAAACCTTTTTCATCGTTGTTTTCATTTTTCATCGCAAAATGTTTTCATGCATTAATCTTGACATTTTTAAATTAAAATGTGGTTAATTGACATTTGAATTTAACGTCTTGTTTTAATTATGGATTAATGAATGAAAAATTTGGCCAAATTTTTAATCCCTATGGTCATATTTTGTTATTAAATTCATTAAATTTAAATGTTTTCTGAACTCAAATCTATTAAAAAAAATTTTTTTGTAAATCTATTAAATATTTTTTATTATCATGAACATTGAAATTATACAATTAACTAATGTCATTAAAAATATCTACATTAATTTTCAAAAAAAATTATTATATATTAGGTTTATTTTCTTCGGCATTCAAAAATATAAAACATTATTGGTCTGGTTATATTTTTTTTTTTATCATTATTATATATATATATATATATATATATATATATATATATATATATATATATATATAAATTAAACTTAAAAATGTATTGTGTGTGTGTGTGTTTGTTCATTTATTTGTAATGCAAAGCCGCAAATTTTTGACGGATTTACTTCAAAAAACATGCATTTGCTCCAAGTTAGAACACAAATTCAACACCGACTTTGCATTTCCCAACTCCCATCGATAGTTCAAATAATCGATTTTTTCATGCTTCTACGGCAGTTTTCATGTAGTTTTCGGCCATTTTCTACTGGCCAGAGTTCATTATCTATAAAATGGCTATTACGAATAATTCAGGAAAATTTCTATTGGCCAGCGTATTTTTCCAACATCTGAATGACACGAATGTTAACTAGCATGCTAGCATGCAAAAAAAATTTTCGATTTCTGCATTCGTCACAAATGGGAAAAAATTTAAATTTTGCATGGCACTTTACTCCAATTGGCTTATTCACTTGCTTAAACTCAACGTTGATTCTGATTCCGCAAAAATGGGTTGGGTGTTTTTTGGATCAAATTTGTTGTTTGTTTCTTTTTTGGCAAAGTTTTTTCAGTTACGAGTCCTTTTTTTAAAGCTGATCGTTTTGTGTTCATTTTGTTTAGTTTTTTTTTGTAAAAAGATTTAATTTTTTATTATAGAGCTTAAAAAAAAATTCGCAGTGTGAGATAGGCAAAAGTTTTTATGAAGCAACATCAGCACGGCAAAGGGCACTTCATTTAAAGGCAAAAAAGGGCAAAAAATTTTTAAAATCAAAGTGATATTATGATTACGTATTTCAGTATGAGAACCTTTATGATTTTGAATCAAGCACCGGCAACGACGGGCCTATAAAAATAATATATATATTCCAAAAATATATTTATTCAAACATTTATATATATATATATATATATATATATATATATATATATAAATTATTTCAATATTTTTTATTTATATATTGTAATATATTATTAGAAAAATTTATATAAATATTTATATATATATATATATATTTATTACATATATATAAATATAATTACATTTAATAAATCAAAATGAGATTATATATATTCAAAAATAAATATTCAAAAATAAATATATTATATTTTTAAAAATATATGTATTCAAAGAAAAATATATATATATTATATATATATATTATAGAAAATAGAGAGAAAGT